ATACACATGGATAAATAAGCCCACGTGCGGATTAAAGACATATAGCACCGCGATATGGGCCAAGCCCAACTTGGGCCCAAAAGGTACACTTCCCCTATAAAAAGGGGGTAAGGTATCTCTTATTCTCATTCTCTCCTTATTTCATTACTACACACTTTCTCTCTCTTGATCTGGGCACTGACTTAGGCATCGGAGGCCCGACGCCGGGGCGACCCCCGGCGTTGGGTTCTGCAGGTACGGAGGCCGGTTCGAGTTGAAGGAGCCCGGGTGAAACTTATTCACTTCAATATGTATATGTGTGTGTGATTTATTTATATCAATAGAAATAAGTATTTTATTTTGTTTACAACACATTATTTAAATTAAAAGTCATTGGAAAGAAATGACGTGATATATTAAATACAAAAGGGTAATAAATAAATAAATAAATATTAAGTATTTCAAAACTAAAAATTTTAATGGTAGATTAATGAAATCTGTAATTAAAAAAATTAAGACTACCCTACTAAATTTTTTAGTGCCAAAAATATATATATTTTTATGTGTTTAAAAGTTCTAGTTAAAATAAATGTTCATCTTGAATATGTTATATATTCCATTAGTCAGCTCAACCTGATATATGACATTAATTAATTTTATCACTTTTTTATTTATGGATTAAATGTGAGCTATATGTTTTCTCATTACCTAGTCTTACATTTTTATTACATAGAACACCATTCTTACCTTTTGTTTAGTTACCATAATACTACTAAAACAATTAAAGACTTTTCAACCTAGATGTATCTTGTTTGTTCATTATCATAAATTAAATGAAATTACATTAAATGTGTTGTATTTTCTATCATTATCAATAATTTTCATAATAATTAGTTGCACGCAATATTATATTGAAGTAAATTTATTTATTGATTTACAACCCTACTTTTACTACAAAAAATGATGAAATTTCACAGGAAAACTTCAACGAAAATATATTACAGTGCAATTAATTCTATATATAAATTAAAATAGTAAAAATAGAATAATATTATGCTTTTTATATTTTAATAATTAATATTATGTTCATAAATACATGTCCAAATACATATATTATATAATGTGTTTTTTTTATTATTTATTTTTTTCATCTATCCTACTTGATACTTTATTTTTCGAATAAGACATTTGAGTATTTTTATATGTCATGTTATTTGTTTCATGTATATTTATATAATTATGTTATATCAATTTTTTTTTATTATGACATGTAGTTATGTAATTAGTAATATGAAAATTATATAAATTTAAAATTGTAACCAATTTATACTATAACACTTCATACTTAATAATGTATGTTGTGAAATTGAGGATAGTACATCCCCTACATTTTTATTTGTTCCAAATATATTTTGGAATATACTTTATATCAATTCAATCTTATTGAAATAGTTTTGCATTTCCTTTATTAATTTCTCATTTATTGATATTGAAATAGTTTTGTATTTTCTTTATTAATTTCTCATTTATTGATACGTTAATACGTTTTTTACCTACTTAAATCTATTTTGTTTATGTTTTATTTATTAAGGGGTTTTGTCCTTGTTAGAATCCTTTTATTGAAATATTTAATCGTGATTATATTAATTTAGACACTTAATGGTTATTATAATTTTTTTCATTAAAAATAATACAAATATAAGGACGATTTTTAGTCTGTGCTTTACAAAATCATTCCTCCTTTCATATTAGTATAGATATAGATATTTTCTTGATGCATAAAAAATAACCACATGTCTGTTAAAGTGTTGAATCGTTTAATAAAGAAGCAATAAGGACCATTGTCTGTTTTTTCGTAATTGATGATTCATCGCATAATATAATCACACGTCGCATGATAACCCAATAATCTAACTTATTCTGACACAATACATTATCTTATTTATTTTGTAGTTATAGTTATTAATTAATTTATCATGAATAGTATTCTTTATCTTATTCTCTATTTATTAAGTCACAAAAATATTCTCAAATGTTTATATGCACAATCCTAAATATTCATGAAATATTTATGATTAAAATGATAAAGAGTACCATTAAAATGATGAATTTATGATTAATAGTGTAAGAAATATTTTAGATGTTAATAAATAAAATGAATGATATTTAAAATACTTATTAAAATTATGATAGGTAACAATTATTTAATTTTTTATTTATTATTTTAGTTTTTTCTTATCCAATTCTCATACAATATTTCATTATTTCTAATGACACTTATATTGAATATTCTATAATTCAATTGATAGTTTTTCCAATGGTTGAAATATGGAAAAAAATTCCAAAGGAAATTCACACAAAGATAAATAATAGTAATTGGAATAGACAATGAAGTTTTTCAATAAAAGCTCTACCAATAAAATATCCATTGAAAATTTCAGTGGAATACCATACCGTTAGATTTTTATTGTAATACAATATTTTTTTATTCATTTTTACATTAAAATTTTTATGTTGTAATTTTTCTTATTAAATAATAGGTTTATCATCAAACACTACTCGTCCAGTAGTTGATATAACTACTTAATGTAGAACGCAATCCTATTTAACCATTCAACTACTTTGGTACAATCGTAATTGATACAACTTGTTAGAAATCATAATTTTAATTAATTCAACTATTAGGAATCATTATATAATGAAGTTTTTTATTTGTTATTAATATAGATCATTTTTTAATTAAAAACATAATATAGGATGATTATTATTGTATTACTAATTTGCCATTAAAAATATGTCAAAGGAAAGGTGTTTTAGGCAACTCATATTTTTACAAAAACACTCGCCCTTTTAGAGTAGTATAGATATAGATAGATATAGATATAGATAGTAACTATATTGATGTGTTAAACATGTACTACAGATGAGAAAGATGACAAATTATGAAAAATATAATTTATAAATTATAATGACATTATGTTATTTTAATGGTATACTTTTTCTATTAACCAAATAATGCCTCAAGTATGAAATTATTTTGTATCCACCAATGCTGGTAGATTTCGAATAGAACTTCCATTGAAATTTTTACAATTCCAGTAATATTTTTTCAACTGTTGAAATATGACCCGAAATTTTTTTTTAACAAAAATTCACGCAATAATAAATAATGATAATTGAAATAATTATATTACACAAGAATAAATAATATAATTTTTCGGGTCATATTTTACAATGACAGACATACAAATAAAATATCATTTAGAAATTTCAGTTAATGTCTTACCGTGATGTCTTTGGGAAACAAAATGTTAATGTCTTACTGTTGTATTTTTCATTGCAATGTACCATTTTTTTTATTTCTTTATATATTATAATTTTTATTAGGAGTTTTTGTTATTAATTAATTGTATTTATAATTTTTATATTAAAAATATATTAAACAAGTGAACTTGGTAATCCATATAGTTTTTGTAGAAATTGCTCATTATTTTATCGCAAAATTACCTATTAATTTATTTATTGAATTACATTTCTTGCACTTACATATTACATAACGAAAAGTATTATTGTATATATATAAAATATGCCATTAATATATTATATTAAAAAACTAATAGCAAATAAAACGTTATTTAAAATCAAAATAATTAATTTTCTAAGAAAAATAAATTTCTAACCTTCATGGATAAAAGTATAAATAACTGATGTCTATAATCTAAAATTTATATACAAAACTAATAAGCACAAAAAATTAAACAAATTTAAAAGTTCTATAATTACTTTCACTAATTATAATATTTTTATTTATTACTTTTTTTCATAGTTATTAGCAAATGTTACAACTTTATTATAAATTTAATATTATTTATCAGTTGTAATATTTTTTACTTTATATTGTCCTTTCATATGTTTTTAATGTGCGTTTGTGTTTGTGGGTAACTTTTCGGTTTGTCCAAAAATATATAAAATTAAGTATAGCACTTTTTAGGTCATATGTCTTATTTATATCAATTAATTTTACATTTTTATATTATTTTATATATAATTATAATCTTCTCATTTATACTCAAATATAATTTTTTTATTTCGTACATTTTTTTTTAAATACCATTTTATTGTAATAACACATATAAATAAATAATTGACTAATGATAATATATGAATATAATTTTTTGATAAAAAAAGTAAATAATTCTCAACATGTAGGCATATCATGATTCTCGAAATATTTTTAATTAGTTTGTAGGTAATTATATGGTCAAAATTAATCCATATTGCTAAAGTGGTATCTCATTAGACATGAAAACAAATTGATACAGTTTTAATATTATACAGTTTCATAAAATTGTTCTAATCTTACGTAGTAAAAAAATTGAATAGATTAGAAGTTTATGTTGCATAACAAACATTCAACAATTAATCTCGCATACTATCACACATTTTTTATAGGTTATTTTGAAAATAATGTTTCAATATCTAGTGGTTGTTATGAGAAAAAACAATATCAATTTTTAGTTTTACAAATGTTTTCAACAATTAATTTCTCATACTATCACACATTTTTTATAGGTTATTTTGAAAATAATGTTTCTATATCAAACAGTTTTAAAGATATGTGGAAGAAAACAATTTTATTTTAGGAGTGTGGAATGAGTTGTTCATGTATTTGCATTTAATTAATTAATATTAGTTATTAATTAATAATATAAGATCTGATGGCATTAGTATATTACCAATTTGACATTAAAATCATGTCAAAGTAAGGATTTTTTAGGTAGTTCATTTTAATTAAAAATATAAATAAAATATGATGTGTATTAGTGTATTACTAATTTGCCATAAAATTTGTGTCAAAGTAAGGGTTTTTTAGGCATTATCAATTTTTACGAAAACACTCCTCCTTTTAGAATAGGATAGATAAATATAGAAAAGCAAAAATATATCATATTCATATATCTCCAATACGACTATCTTTAATCCTATTTTTATATAGTGAACAGCAAAACAGAAACTGCAAATCAGTCTTCACATTGCAGACTTCTCTTTATGTTATGCAACGTGCTAGATATGAGCGTGTTGACCACATCCACAGAGTCAACTGAAAGCTTTGCAGTTGTCGAGTCTCCTATGAGCATTTGAAATGCAATGGTAAGCAAAGACCCTCCTTCCGAGCCCTTTTCATCTGGTCTTGAAGTTATCACGAACGGCCGGGATTCAATCCCATCGGGAAGGATAGAGAAACCCGATGGTAGAACTGCTATGTTGCTAGAGTCACAGCCTGTCATCACAGATTGCATGCCATTTGCATCCACAGATGCGTACACAACGGTTGCTTCGTACGCGTTTGTGGAATTGTCTTGGAGTATCCATGTGTTGTGTTCATCGGTTTTCATGGCCTGTTATTTAAGAATAAAGAACTTGTATTAGGAGGACATATTTTTGGGGATGAGTATGGAAAGTGACCTTGGAAGTTGGATCTAGTTTAAAAACAAGCCATCTGATTACCATGTCGAAATCAAGGGGATTATTGTGATTTTATAGATGTGAAGGGGTTTTTTGAAAGTTTTTTTGCTTAGGAATGGAGTAAACCGAGTAAATGTAAGATAAAAATAAATTATGGGGTACTCTTTGTAATGTCGAAATTTAGGTGAGTTATTTGTAAATACATCAATCAAATTCATGGATGATATTTTTATAATTAACCTATGTATTATATTTATGATTAAATCCCTGAGGTTCGCCCACGATGGAAAATTCCAGTTATTTGTTGAAAGTCCAAGTACCTCGTAAGGTTTGTTTATGTTTTACATTTTTTCACCCTTTGAAAATGGGTTGTTTGTAAAGCAAAACATTAACTTGAAGGGGCGTTTGTAATGTTGAAAGGCATAATGGATCTTTAAGTAAACGAGCCATAAATCAAGCTCAAGCTCGGCTCGTTTATCAATATTAACGAGTTGAACTGTAGAAAGTTATAGAAATATTCTTTTTTCGTGCCTTATCGAGCTGAGCTCACGAGCGTCTAACAACTCTATGTATATGTAACTCATGCTCACCAGGACTGCAGCTGCATTTCCTCTGTCTTGCCCTTTAGCCAAGTTTGCTACTGATTGTATTGTGCTTCTATTGGACAAGGTGTCCCACTGTGATTTACCAAAGAAAACGGTCAATAACAGTTACTATTTCTTGAAATTTGAGGGTGATCAAACTTCAAAACTGAAGAGTATTTGCCAAATGAAAGCATATGTCAAGAGGACCTTTGTAAATTTTTGTTTAGATTTTTCTTCTACTTTTAATATATTAATAAAGAGATAATTAGCAAACCTCATTTCTTCGATTTTCGTCTCGCAGGAAATCAAATAAGGCATGTGGGGAAACAGGCAGCCACACACAAGAAACTGCACACAAAATTGTGCCGAGTGGTTCTCCAGTGTCACTTAGGTTTTTTCTTGAAGTTACTCTTATGTCGTCTCCAGTTTTGGTGGTGATCTTGTTCCATGAGTTGCAGCTCGAGTCCCCCAGCACTCGGCAAAAATTCCAGGTCATTCTTTGCGCCAATTTCAAAATGCTTTTTCTCCCAGCAAGTGTAGCAACTCCTATTTTGATTGAATTACCTTGTTTAGATAGATGGTGCCAAGTTTCACTATTTTTTTAGTAAATTATGGATAAAAATGCTATTTTTGTGCTGTGGCTGTTGGGTAATAAAAAGTTTATATGAAGAAAAATGGAAGTTTTTTGTTTTTCTTTTGAAAAATACAAATTTCGTCTGAAAACCGTAATTTCTCTAGTCAATACCCTATAATACCCTACTTGATTGAAGTTGCTATAAGCCATCATATAACTGTTGATAATTACCACTTGAATCCCTTGTGGGAACATTAGTAGCCACAAGGAACACGAGCCTCTCACACTGCTGCTGCAGGGTTGAAATCCAGCGCTTTGCGCCGTATGCTAAGCCACAGTTCACTACTGTTCGATACAGAGAATGAACCGTGGTTTTCTGGCATTCCAAGTGCTCAACCCAAGTCACCTTAAAAAAAAGTCCAAACAATTGTCAATCGATAATAAAACAAAAACATAGAAATTAAAACTCAAAAGATACTTCCAATTTTCGAGGATTTTTCATTCTCTTAACAACCTTACAGTGGCCGTTGGACTTGTCCTCAATAATACATCCAGATGGCCTCTTTCTGCATTTCATTAGAGACGCATCGATTTTACTCTCGATTTTGTCGATCGAGACATCTACAATTGCCCACAGGTTGGGGCTCAGTTTTTTGCAGTGTCTAATGAAATACACTTCTCTTGTGGCCACCATTGGAGTCAGCATTTGCATCTCTGCACACATCTGTCACAATTTTTGAACAATAATCTGTATAATATTCGATCAAAAGATCACAATATTAAACTAAAATTACTTACCATGTGAACTGCACCATCTTTGTTGGCACCTTCTCCACTGCAAAGAACATCCACAGTAGCTGCCTTTGCTACCATGCAAGGAAACAGCTCTTTCCACTGATTCTGAGATTTATAAAGAATAAATAAGGAAAAAAAAAATCCACATTCCAAAAAACTATATACATATAATCCTATCATACAAAAAATTACTAAACAAAAATATCGAACCACATCCATAAAGCTCTGAACCAGCCATGGCAGATCAACAAAGATGGCTCTGCTTTCTCTTGAAGCCTCTATAGATAGTTTCTTTGTCTGCTGCATAATATCGCGATTATCGCCACAAATTTCTTTCATGTACTCATCATAGTTTAGAATTTCGCGGCCCGTTTCGAAGCTTCGAATCCACAATGGCTCACCTTGAGTAGCCATTTTGCGCAGCTCGTCCGTCGCTCGATCAACGGCATCCATTATGCGTGATTTCTCGAGGCCAAAATTTCCCATGCAGAAATCTAAGGGACTCTTGTTTTCTTGATCATTGGATGAATGGACTGAGGAGCCGGTTTGTGATGTTGGAGGAGGGTGTTTACAAATAATGGACGTTAGTTTTTCGACCTGAGTTTTTCTTATATTAATGAATGTGTGAATATGAGAAGAATAAATCAATAAACATAACATAATTTAAAAAAAAAAAAAAAAGTAAAAAACTAAAGAGGAAGACACTATCATCTTGCAAAATTAATTACAGGTTCTCTGTTTACAGAAAATACTGGGGTCTTAAATTTTGGAAGATGAGTGTTTTATGTTTAGAGGGCTACGGTGTCTTTTGGTCCCTCAAGTATAGTGAATTAGTGAGGTTGTATCAATCACATGGAGGAAGCGTATAATTGTAACTTTGGTAACTAGAAGTGTACCTATATTGTCTTTTTGGTTCTCTATGAACTGAATGTTCTCGAAAAAATAAAATCGTTTGAACTCATTCATTGTCAAATAAAACTCGATTAATCTATTAATCGAGAAAAACTGGAACAAAAAATATATTTTCATTTGTTAATCGAACGGACACGAGCATGTTCGCGGAAGCTCGATAATGTTTGTACTCTCATTTAACATATAATTCATTTATCTTTATATTTATATGTATAATATTTTATGTACGGGGTCTAGACCGAACGGGTGGTGACAAGGAAAATCAGGTGACAAGGGAAATCACGTGACAAATGGGTACGCACGTGGGAGGACGAACCGGATGCGATCACGACGGGCCGCTCACCGGATGAACGGACGTAGGCAAGCTGAATCTATCTTAATCATTGTCCAAATCGACAGTACAACGCGCATTAAATGCAAAGATATCCCCAAATCCCCCATCTGACGGCGAGGGAAAAGCCAAGGCACGTGGCATGATACGGACGGACCTCTGATAGTAGAATTAGATTGTCAAATACAATTAACATTTAATATGGAATGACTAATATCCAAGAATATCTTGTAAAAAGAAATGCAAAAATCCCCAAGAGGGAAATGTAAAAGTCCCTAAACTTCCTATATAAGGGAGGAGACATCATTTAATGCAATGAGTAAATGCTCTCATTAATTACTCTATAAGACAAGGATAGCTTGAGCATTCGGACCAATAAGTAAGACCGAATCACAACCCGAACAGAGTACACATCACAGTGTGCAGTTCGAATACATTGTTGGTCATTTTTAGACATCAAAAATTGGCGCTAGAAGGAGGACTATTCCAGCATGTCAAAGACAACATCATCATCGTCAAGCCAAAGTCGCCGCCGTGACACGCCGGAAGAAAGAGAAGACCGGCGCAACAACCAAACCACGAGGACGGACTACTCAGCCTTTTTCAAAGACCCGAATTTTGTCAAAGGAATATCAAACCTCATAACACAGATCCGGCCCTCAACGTCTCAAGCACCCAAGACTCCGGCCAAGAAAGACCTTACCAACACTCTCAAAGGCAAGGGAACGGACGCTCACGAAGAAACCTCTCGGTCGCGCGACAACACCATCGAGAGTACGAAGGAGAAATCCACCACCCGGACAGAAAACCAACAGACGGACGAAAGTCGCTCGGTCACGGACACACGTACCCGCAACACTACCCGTTCGGTCTCCAAACGGCTCGGGAAGAATGTGGCCGATGACGACTTGAGGAAGACGTTGCTCAGAAAGCGAACGACCCAAGCCGAAGAAGAAGAAATGAAAAGTCTCCGAAGAAGAATAGCCGAACTTGAAGCTCGACGTTCGGCCCAAAAACGACTTGCCTCCATCGGACAGGACCTGACGGAAGTTCCCCTCAAGCGGGCCACAACCACATCAAAAGCACAAACCGAATTCAATCCGGCCAAATCTGAATCACCCCTAACATTTGATATTTTGCAGGAACAGTTGCCCGAGAAGATCAAGATCCTACAAATCGGATTCTACGACGGGACATCCGACCCGGACACTCACCTAGGACTGTACACATCGTGGATGGACCTACATGGAGCACCGGACGCCCTACGTTGCCGGATGTTCTCTTTAACTCTGGGAGAAAAGGCACAAAGATGGCACCATTCGCTCGCCCCACATTCGGTCACCAGGTGGTCACAATTGAGTCGATGTTCCGAACACACTTTATCGGATCCCAAGCATGACAAATTTCCAAAGAATCGATCATTCACATTGTCCAAGGAGAAGACGAGAACTTGAAGGACTATATCACTCGTTTTAACGAGCGGGTACAAAACATGGAGCTGTGCCACCAAGAGACCCTGCTCGTTTCAGCGTATTCGAGATTGAGACCGAATTCGATGTTCAGATGGACCCTTTGCCAGAACAAACCCCAGACGTATCATGAATTCTTGATGAAGGCTCAGCAGCATATCATGGCGAAAGAAAACATGTTCGTCCCATCATTCTCGGCCATGAGCGAACCGCCCACCAAAGTTAAGGAGTCTTGACCGAACAAGGAGTTCATGAAGGACGGAAAAAATGCCCAATTCCGAGCCATGCAGAGAAAACATCATGAGGAGCTGACGAACAGCTATCAAGGAGTGTACTCGGCCGGGGCCGCTGTCGTGTACGAAGAATTAAAAAACAAAGGAATCATTCTGGATCCAAAACCGATAATAGCGGACGAGGAGAATCTTGACAAGAGTCGATATTGCGCCTACCACAAATCCCACGGCCACAACACCGACCAATGTCGAAATTTAATATCTGCTCTTTTGAAACTAATTGATGACCCGCAGGTAAGAAGGTTCACCAAGATGGATGGAGGCAATCGGAGGCCAAGAAATGACGACCGGATGAATCTAAGAGACAAACTCGACTTTGGAGCAGATACGCGAAGGACGAACGAACGCCCAAAGGAAATCGTGACGATCAGTCAAGAGCAACAAGGTGAGGCAAGCGCATCCGCGGGGAGGAAAAGGACAGCATCCGGCCGCAACGAGGAGCATTCGGTCCACATTCCAATCCGAAGAAGCGGACCACCGACAAGAGTCAATACGAGCCGCGATAGTTCAAGCGTGTCAAGAAGGCAGGTCATGGCATACGTTTGGAAGGCGTACATCACAGGACACCAAGTCAGTCGAGCAGGGGTCAACCGACACGTACCCATGCCCACGAACCTGATAATGTTTTCGGATGAAGATTCTTTCCCGTTCGATAATCCACATTCTGACGAGCTCGTAATCAGCTCCAATCTTCCGTATCCCAGTTCACCGAATCATGGTGGACACCGGAGCGTATTCGAGCATTTTGTACTGGACCGCATTTTTTAAAATGGGAATCGACGGAAGTGAACTGCACCCGTGCAACGACCGTATAACGGGATTCAACGGACAAGCAACCATTCCCGAAGGAGAAATCACACTAGCGATCGAACTTGGAGGATCAGGAGCGAACGGACGCAGAATCATGGATACTTTCAAGGTAGTGAAAAGGCCAGCGAGTACAACGCCATCCTTGGACGAACGACCCTATACAAGCTAAAGGCTGCCGTGTCAATCTACCATTATTCGATCAAATTTCCAACGGAGAACGGGGCAGAAGTCCATTACGGCAACCAAAGGGAAGCAAGAGAATGCATCATGGCGATTACATCGCTTGAGATACACTCGGTCATGATGACAAACGAGGAAAGAAATGAGATAAGTGAACCGACTGGTGAGCCCGAGCAGTCGGGAGAGCAAGATGAGGAAATCCCGCCCGGACAGCTAGAAGACAGCTCGACCGTTAGACGTTCAAACGAAAGAAAGAGGAAGAGGGAAGAACCGGTCGAGAGCCTAGAGGAGGAGGGCGAGTGCCCCTTGCCAACGTCACTAAGCACGAATGCACCCTCACCCATGAAAGACGAACAGGTCGAGAAAGCTGTGGAAGGGTCGAAAGCCGATCACTCCGACCCGAACGAAGAAGTAAGCCAGAAAGATGAAGAGGACTGAACAGCAGATCGGGGCCGGCGACCGAGAAAGGAACCAATTGAAGAGAAAGATAAGTTGGACCCCAGAGATCAATTCAAAGGAAAGAAATCTGAACGGGCAGAACCAAGCGAAGACACGGAGGTGATTTATCTAGATGAGCCGGCCTGCACCAAGTTATTGCGTATCGGATGGAATATAGGCAAACCCATCCGGTCCAGGTTAATTGCCTTTTTGGTCGAAAATGCAGATGTCTTCGCCTGGACGCATGAAGATATGGTGGGGATCGATCCGAACTTGGCGTGCCATAGCCTCCGAAACGACCGAACGATGAAACCAATCATACAGAAAAGAAGAAAGCTGGGACCGGAGCGACAAGGAGCACTCGAAGGAGAAGTGATAAAGCTGATTGACAACCGGTTCATCCGCGAAGCTAAGTATCCAGTTTGGGTATCCAATCCGATTTTGGTGAAGAAGAATAACGGGACATGGCGATTGTGCGTCAACTTCAGCGATCTCAACCGGGCTTGTCCCAAAGACAGCTATCCGTTGCCCAACATCGATTACATGGTGGATGCGACGTCCGGACACGAACTCATGAGCTTCATGGACGCTTATTCGGGGTACCATCAGATCCCAGTGGACCCGAACGACGAGGAGCACACCTCTTTCTATTCGGCGAGGGGACTTTACTGCTATACCATGATGCCATTCGGTCTGAAGAATGCCGGCGCTACTTACCAGAGGCTCGTGAACAAGATGTTTTCAGATCAAATCGGACGAACCATGGAAGTTTATATGGATGATATGCTTGTTATGTCTGTTTTTGCGAACGATCATGTAACCCATCTTAATGAAATATTTTCTATCTTGCGCGATTACTCGATGGTGTTAAATCCTAAAAAGTGTACATTTGGGGAAGGTTCGGGTAAGTTTTTAGGATAAATTGTTAGTCAAAGGGGAATTGAAGCAAACCCTGACAAGATTAAAGCAATACTCGAACTAAAACCCCCTAGATCAATAAGGGAAACGCAAAGCCTAACGGGTAGATTAGCAGCTTTAAACCGATTTATATCAAAGTCCACGGACAAATGTAAGCCCTTTTTCGAGTCAATTAAAAAGAACAAAAAGTTTGCGTGGACGGACGAATGCCAACATGCGTTGGACCACATTAGAAAGACACTCATT